CACAGAGCCTGACGCGGGGCTCGAACCCACGAACCGCGAGATCATGACCTAAGTGAAAGTCGGACGCTTAACCGACTAAGCCACGCAGGCGTCCCTTCCCCCAAGTTAATCTTTAAGTTAATGTAACTGCTATCAAAATCACATTTTGTGTTTTGGCAGATTTTGACAAATTTATCCTTTCATTTGATTCATTCAAATGAAACAGAGAAGCGGTTGGTGAGACACAGGATTATATAAGAGAATAAGGTATGATGACAGTCTAGATAAGGAGTTGAAAATCTCAAACACAACTAGGAAAAAAAAGGAAACTACCTTAACATAATAAAAATGCTAAAAGCCATATATGAAAAGCCTTAGCTAACATCATACAGAATGGTGAAAGACTGAAAGCTTCTCCTTCAAGATCAGAACAAAACAAGGATGCCTACTTTTGCCACTTCTATTCAATAACTGACTGCATTTCTATACATTAAAAAGGAATGATCAGAAAAGAAAATTAAGCATATAATTACATTTAAAATAACATAAAAAAATACTTAGGAATAAATTTAACAAAGGAGGCAAAAAAACTTGTACACTGAAAACTACAAAATACTGCTAAAAGAAATTGCAGACGCAAATAAATGGAAAAATGTCCCGTGTTCATGGATTGAAAGAAAATACCGTTAAGATGTCAGTACTACACAAGGTGATCTACAGACTCAACACAATCTTAGAAAATCCCAATGGTACAAATTTTTTAATAAATAGAATATGAGTCTCAAGGGACTCTGAATAACTGAAACAGTCTGGAGGGGGGGGAGCTGCAAGTCTCCCACTTCCTGATTTTAAAACATATTACAAAGCTATAGTAATCAAAACAGCGTGGTACTGGCATAAAGACAGACATGTAGACCAATAGAACAGAACAGAGAGCCCAGAAATAAACTCTCATATGTGGTCAAATGGTTTTCGCTAAGGGTGTTAAGACCACTCAATGGGGGAAGGATGGTCTTTTCGACAAATGGTGCTGGGGAAACTGAGTACCCATATGCAAAAGAATAAAGTTGGATTCTTAGTTTACAACATATACAAAAATTAACTGAAAGTGGATTAAAACATATAAAAGTCCAAGAGGAAAACACTGGTGAAAAGCTTCATGCACTGGGTTGGGCAATGAATTTTTGGATATGACCCCAAAGGCACAGGCAACAAAAGTACAGACGAAAGAGATTACTTAAAATTTAAGCTTAAAAACTTCTGTGCATCAAAGGACATAATCAGCATAGTGAAAAAGCAACCTATATAATGGGAGAAAATATTTGCAAATCATATATCTGATAAGGGGTTAATAATATCCAGAATATACAAAAAACTCCTATAACTAGGCAAAAAAAATTATATATATATATATATTTAATGAACAGACATTTCTCCAAAAATAATATATAATGGCCAGCAAGCACATGAAAAGATGCTTAATATCTGCTGGCAGCCATTCTGAGCCCACTGGTCGAGAAAGCTTCTGGTGAGGTTAAGGTAAGTTTGCACGGTCTCTTGCCAATCAGATGACAACCGATATCCACCCCCCACTCAGTTATTTTTGCCTGAGCACCGACCCCCAAGGAACCTTGTGGATTGGTATCGGGAGTGGCCTGTCCGCTTACTCTGGCCCTGGTATGATGATTGCACCTTGTGAAGGAACTTATTGTGGGAACTTCTTTTGTGATTATGGGAACAGACATTGTGTCTCCAGCAGGTCCTGTTTTCCTCCATACTCTCCCTTGGGCTGTGAACAGGCCAATTACCCTTACTCATAAAAGACTGACCTTTACATGTACAATTCTGTTTCTACTGTTGCATTAGTCCAAGAGGTTCATACAGCTCAACATGTAAATCAGCTAACCAAAGATGTTTCTCATGCCCTAGCTATTCAAGAAATCATAGACAAAAGCTAGACACAAAGGTAAATACACTTGAAGAAGCTATTCTATGTACTGGAAATGAGCTAAACTCATGCCATTTGGGTGTTCAAAGCCCCACACAATCTCCATAGGACCCGAGCCCTCTCCCCCACACCAACAGCCAGAGACCTGTCGGAAGCCAAACAATTCAAGAAAATGCAGGAACTGTACCCTTAACAGAAAGGACTGGTTACAGGAAATGACCAGCTAGAAGGAAGGCAAATGTCTTGCCAAGCTGAGTATCTCTGGAAGAAAACTACAGACTCATGTCCTTGTCTTCTGGGGGATGGAATTTCTGCCAATTAAATGAGATGCACTCAATCGTAGGTGAGCCGCAAACCAAAGCAGAAAATATACAATGAAGGCATGGTGGACCTGGATCCAAAAAAGGGGGAAGTAGTAGGTTAGAAGAAAAGGTGTAGGTTTGCAAAGTCCTCTGACATGGTAAGGAAATCTCGATGCCAACAGGGGTTGGCTTCATGAACTCGGGCACACATACCAACCGCCTTTGAAGGGAAACTCCTAGCCCCCGGGTCTGCCCAAACCTGCAAATTCAGTGACTGACACGGTTTCTCTGGCATCTGACAAAATTACTGGTGAGTCTCTAAGAACAAGTACACTAACCTGAGGAAAATATAAATACTGACATCCTAGAGAAATTAATTAAGCCCACAACGAAAAATTCTTAGTAAGTGGAGGTGAAATAATCAGTTTTATGATCAATTTTGCGTTTGAGGCAAAGAAACTGCACATTAGGGGAAAACTCCAACATTAGGCTTGTTATTTTATTTACTGAGGTATTTAATAAAATTTGATTGTTTTTAATTTTTTAGTGTTTATTTATTTAGAGGGGGGCGAGGCGAAGCGAGAGAGGGGGAGAGAGAGAATCCCAAGCTGGCTCTGTGCTATTAACACAGAGCCTGACTTGGGGCTCGAACTCACAAACCGTGGGATCATGACCTGAGCCAAGATCAAGAGTCAGATGCTTAACCAACTGAGCCACCCAGATGTCCCTGATTATGTTTGTTTTTTTAACGTTTATTTATTTTTGAAAGACAGTGTGCATTCACGAGTGGGGGAAGGACAGAAAGGGAGACCAGATCCGAAGTGGGGTCCACAACGATAGCAGAGTCCAATGTGGGGCTCAAACTCAAAGAGCTGCAAGATCATGACATGAGCCAAAGCTGGACACTTAACCAACTGAGCCACCCCGTTGTCCCCCAAAATTCTATTGAGAGAGAGAGAGCAAGTAGGGGAAGGAGGGGCAGAGAGGGAGAAAGAATCCCAAGCAGGCTCTGAGCCGTCAGCATGGAGCCTTATGTGGAGCTTGAACTCACAAACTGTGAGACCATGACCTGAGCTGAAACCAAGTTGGATGGATGCTTAAATGACTAAGCCACCCAAGCATCCCTGATTCTGTTTCAAATCACTGCTTCAGTATTGAATTTATATTACACAATTTACAAGTTTGGATTGATTAATATGTCCGTGGTTGTTGCTTTCATTTGAGGTGATAATATCAGTTAAGAAGTCACTTTCTCAATCTTATTACTAATGACTTAAAAAAATTTCTTTTATTTATTTTTGAGAGGGAGGGTGGGGAGGAGCAGAGGGAGAGGGAGACACAGAATCTGAAGAAGGCTCCACACTCTGAGCTGTCAGCACAGAGACTGACATAGGGCTTGAACTCATGAACCACGAGATTATGACCTGAGCCCAAGTCAGACACTTAACTGCCTGGCTGCCTTTTCCCTGTTTGTTCTGCTCCTCCCACTCCTGGGCTAGCCCCTCTCCCCCTTATCACGTGCACACAAATCTTTATCTCAGGGTCTCAGGTAGGGGGTGGGGCAGCTGACCCAAGAACCCATGTCATCTAAGAAGCTGAGAATACACAGGAGTTTACCTTTTAAAATTGATGTTGAGACTGGCGGTCATGACAATCCCCCCGACTATGAGAGCAGATATACCAAAAGTAGAGTCGATCATGGTTGCGATAGCACCTCCGTGAAGGAATCTAGTTACAATAGCAGAAAGAGAGAGGTTTTCAAAAGGTCTAAAAACAGAGCCTCTGGGGGAAATTATCCAAGCACATCTCCATATAATTTACCCATGAAAAGTCCACTTAGTCCACGTTCAATGAAGTGAATGTCAAATGGTAATCAGAGCACAGTCAAGCAGAAAGCTAAAATATAATTTATGAAATTTGTATCATGTTTTTATTGAACTGCACATATCACTGCTTAACAATGTAAAGAAAGGTAGATAAACAGAAACAAAGAAAAATAAATAAATAAAATTGAAGGCCTACAATCCCACCATCTAGTGACAAACTGCTGTTACCTTGTTAACGATACTCTCAAATTATACTCCTATTGCTCTGTCCCATGAGTTTGTGATCTAATAATTATAAACATCTTTCCATGTCAATAAATATATATCTACATTACCACTGCAATGCCTTTACTGTAGTCCATGGATATATGTGGATACTGTAAGTTAATAAGCTTTCAGATCAAGACTTCTACTGATCTATGGGATGTTAGCTGTCATTCTTACCCAGGTGCTCCTTGTAGGTAAGGACCTCCTTGAAATATGCAAACTGTCTTGTCTTCAGCATGATTATGAAACATTACATATTCAAAGCCCAGGCCTTCCTCAAAGTTTCTGGGAAAGAGCTGGGGCTGTGACCTTTGTTCTTTTATAGGCTTTGCGTCTGTAGGGAAATGAAGTGGATGGGCGTATGAGAAACAGGTAACAGACAGATGCCACAGCAGAGCTAAGCACCTGTACCTGCAAGAACGACAGGTTAATGGAGGACTGATTACAATGTCAACTAGGTACAAAATTATAAGGGAATGGGAGCGTCTCCCAGAAGCAGAATACAGGAAATTTGCTCGTGTGGAATTAACAGTCTAACTGGGGACATAATAAACGTTGAGGGCACACAAAATGAAACAGGAAACAAGGTATGCACAGAAAGTCTTCCTAAAGTAAGTACGGCTTAAATGAGATTTAAAGAAAATGACTGGTGTAACAGCAGAGAGGTTTTCCTTGAGGATGGGAGTTTAGCTTCAGCAAAGGTAGGTTATCATACTGATCAAAATCAGATCCATTTCAGCCCAATATCCTGTGTGGGACTCTAAACCCCCAAACTCAGGTTTAGAACGGTTAAGGTTCAGGAAATCAAATTAGTGAGTTGTAATCAGACTTTGAAAAAACGAGCAGGGGAGGGGCAGAGAGAATCCCAAGTAGGCTCTGTGCTGTCAGCGCAGAGCCTGATGTGGGGCTTGAACTCACAAACTGAGATCATTACCCAAGCTGAAATCAAGAGCTAGACACTTAACTGACTGAGCCCCCCTACCCCCAGGCACCCGTGAAAGATGTTCTAAAGGTAGGGTGTGTCTATCCTTACACATCTATGTTAAGATTTAATTCCCCAAACTCAAAGATTTCTTTCTTGGCTCATCATGATTTGCCATGCATAACACTAAGCTTCTTTTATTGTTATTGAATTTACATTTACAGAGTTGGAAAAAGACAGAAGATGAGAAGATTTAGGAGAAGTAGAGAGAATGGCTTTTATTTAGGCCATGAACATCTTGGAGGTGGGGCGGGTGCCCGTCTTCTAGACTTTGTCGCTCAGTAAGTGGCATCCACTGCATGTGCGCATACTATAAGCCCTCTAGGGGTTGTTGAGAAAATTGAGGGGGAAAGAGTTAGAAATGAGGGCCAGTATCATAGGAGTTGGGAGAATTAAGTTCTTGGCCTAGAACCTGTTGCTTCCTCCACATTTTACCCATACAGTGAGGAGATAAACCTCAATGATCTTGGAGTTCTTCCAGTTCTGACATTCTGGAACTTCTAGAGAAGCACCAAACCCTTCCAATTTTTTACTTAGGAGTTCAAAATTCCTGATCTAGATTATCAAACCCTGAGGTTATGTCATAAAAATGAGAAAAATAAAGGTGGTGAGAGAAGCTTGTTAGAAGTGCAGAGGCTGCTTCGGATCCTCTGTCTCACTCTCTGCCCCTCCTCTGCCGACGCTTGCTCTCAAAAATGAATAAACACTCTCACACACACAAAAGAGAAAACAACAACAACAAAATAAAAAATACTAAAACACTAATTGCTAAATATTAAGTCCAAGGTTACCTACTCGTGTCCTCTTATTACAGTCAGTGAAACATTTTGGAGTCTGTTAGTAAACGTGTTCTGTACCACTGGAAAACTGCAATATGAGGAAGTGTAGGCTTATAAAAATTATAAAACGTATTCATAAATTTGTCAATCTACACAATACTGGCATCACACGGTTCACAACTCTTCACTTCTTTTCACTAGAAATTAAGGTTTTAATAGGTTAAGAATTCTAACAGAGAAGCACCTGGGTGGCTCAGTCGGTTAAGCATCCAACTTCGGCTCAGGTCATGATCTTGTGGTTCATGGGTTCTAGCCCCACGTTGGGCTCTGTGCTGACAGCTCAGAGCCTGGAGCCTGTTTCAGATTCTGTATCTCTCTCTCTCTGCCCCTCCCCCTTCATGCTCTGTCTCTCTCAAAAAATAAACAAACATTAGAAAATTAAGAAAAATTCTAATATATGTCATTAAAAATACTAAAAATAAGAGAAATAACTCTGTATGCAAAGAAAGCAGGATGTATTTTTGGTAAGAAAAGGTTATGAGGCATGGAGATGGGTTTTTGTTAAGGAAACAAAAGAAGAATTTTGTCCTCAAGCAGAGTAACTAGTTGTTTCAGAATGACAAGAGGAGAATAAGGAGCAAACTAAGTAGATAAAGTTGGGGAGGAGAGGGAGAGAGAATCTTCTTACCTTGGGTGGCCAAGGTGGCTAACACTGAATGAATTTATTGTAAGAGTTTTTAAAAATAAGTTTTACTTACTTATTTATTTATTTTTGAGAGAGAGCACGCACGTGTGTGCTGGAGAATGCAGGGGGTGGAGGGGCAGAGAGAGGTGAGGAGAGGATCTGAAGTGGGCTCTGCGCGGACAGCAATTGACAGTAGAGAGCCTGATGTGAGGCTCAAACTCACGCACCAAACCGTGAGATCATGACCTGAGCTGAAGGCAGACGCTTAACCGACTGAGCTACACGGGTGCCCCTAAAATAAGTTTTAACAGAATGCCTGTACAGAATTAAAATTTAATATTCGTTTGTCTATTAAAAGGACACAGTTTTCTTGGATTATTGGTATGCTCTTTTTAAAAAATGTTTATTTTTTGAGAGAGAGAGGTCACAAGCACGAGTGGGGGGAGGGACAGAGAGAGAGAAAGAGAGAGAGAGAATGAGAGACAGGATCCCAAGCAGGCTCCAGGCCCTGAGCTGTCAGCAGAGCCTGACTCTGGCCTGAACCCACAAGCCAAGCCGTGAGATCATGACCTAAGCTGAAGCCAGACGCTTAACTGACTGAGCCACCCAGGCATCCTGTTCTACTCTTAATAAGACACTGTGAAAGGTTTTTCTTTACCTTTTAAGTAATCTGCCTAGAAAGTAAGAATTTTTTTTTTATCTTACCAAAATAATTTCCTGTGTTTTGTGTTGTCTTTTTCAGGTCTTTGATTACTTAAGATACTGAGTCTTCTTCTCTATTAAAAGAGCTAAGTTTTTGTTTTGTTTTTACAACTATGTACTTTTCTGGTTTGCCTTTGACAGCTTTTAATCATCATTTTGGTTTCATGATTAAGTACTGTTCCACACTGACCTATTTGATAAGATGTTCTAAAACTTTTGGTATTTGACAAACTTCCCCTAACCAAAGTTTAAATCAAGTCTTTGAACTTAGACTAACTCTGGGATTTCCCGACAGGTCCCCAGAACAACCTTCTAAGGGAGAGTTGTTGAACTATTTTAACTGTACGAAGTTCTTAGAAATCTGGTATCCTGGTATAATGTTATCAGTCATAATTCTAGTTATCTTAAAATCTGTGTCACAGAAATAAGCACATTTCCTTGTCGTTTGCATTAGAATGAACTCTCATCAGATCTTTAACCATGGCTATTTTTCAGTCTTTTCGTCATTTACAGACAGTCGTTTTATTCTGATGATTCTGCAAAAGTGCTTTGTCTTCTAAGAGATTCAAGAAAAGGACTCTGACAAGTACAGGTTTCTGATAACTTTAAGATCATACCACTGAGCTGGGTAAGAATTTCCAGAACTCTAGTGGAAAACTCAATTCATAAAACTGCCTAGGTCAAGCAAAACAAGGGTTAATTACATGGGGCTGAATGAGTTGATGAAGATAAAACAGAATCGCAACATTTATCTTTCTCCTATCTGATCCCACCAAAATTTGGAAACTCTTACTGAGTATTCTTATTTTAACAGTCATCTATTTGCAGATAATATGTTCCTTACTATAGACACAGATATGACCAAACAGCTCAGGAAACTGAGGCTGACTTTATGGAGCCAATAAAACTCCCTTCAGAAAACTGCATGGTATTTTGCTTACTGGGTTCCTGGCATCATAGGAGGGTAAAGATGGGTCACTTTCTGGCAGCCTGTGGAACTGTAGAATATTTGGGGGACCCTGAGAGGAGAAGAATCCACTCAGATTCATAGGTATTATAGGCAAAGACAGTGAGTGGCTTTTAAAAGTCGAATCTGGGATTCCTTATGCAAAGTAAACACCCCCAAAAAACCAACATGGCCAATCGCTATTCTTATAGCACCCATCTAAACAATCAGGCCATGTTTAATGAGATTAGACTTATTTTAGGGGTGCCTGGGTGGCTCAGTTGGTTAAGCATCCAACTTCGGCTCAGGTCATGATCTCACGGAGATTCTCAAGGAGATTCTGTGTCTCCTTCTCACTCTGACCCTCCCCTGCTCACACTGTCTCTCTCTTCCTCAGAAACAAATAAAACATTAAAAAAAAAAGATTAGACTTATTTTGCAATCAAACTAGTCTTACTGCGATTACCTCTGATACAAATGGGTGACTGTGGGGCGTTAAGCATCTGACTTCAGCTCAGGTCATGGTCTTGTGCTTTATGGGTTCTAGCTTCCCATTGGGCTCTGCGCTGATGGAGCCTGCTTCAGATTTGATGTCTGCCTCTCTCTCTGCCCCTCCCCCACTTGCACTCTGTCTCTTTCAAAAATAAACATTAAAAAAAATTTTTTTTTAATGTTTTATTTATTTCTTCGAGAGAGAGAGAGAGAGACAGCGTGAACAAGGGAGGGTCAGAGAGAGAGGGAGTCATAGACTCTGAAACAGGCTCCAGGCTCTGAGCTGGCAGTCAGCACAGAGCCCGACGCGGGGCTCAAACCCACGAACCGCGAGATCATGACCTAAGTGAAAGCTGGACGCTTAACCGACTAAGCCACCCAGGCGCCCCTAAAAAAATTTTTTTAAAAAAGCAACCAAAAACCAAATAGGGAGAAAAAGTATGTTTCCACAGCACACTCTTGAGGACAGCAGGTCCCAGTGCTGTTCCTTGTCTTTGTGGCTCTGTTATCTGCAAACTTACCTGGATTCTAAATTCTTCTAGTTTCCTTACGTACCCAATTCTGACCCTCCACAGTAATGTTTCTAATTTTCTCCCACCCTTCTGACTTGGTATCACTAAGAGCAAAACTGCTTTTCCTGAAGCCCTGCAAATGGAAGCTAAACCGCTTAAGAGTTACTTCACAGATATCACAATGGCTCACGTGTGGACCAGTGCCTGCTGCGGGCTGGCTACTCAGAGGCTTCATACCTGACGATACCCCAGAGACAGGCAGACTGCAAACCAGGAAACAGACTGCTGAAGGACTTCCAACCACCTCCAGAATGACCTCCAACTTCCCACCAGATTAAGTTCTTCTTTCCAGCCTATTTTTGAATTGAGGCAAAAAGCCCTCTGGGCAAAGTATCCCTCATGGGAACCAAAACTACCTCCTCAAGCACTAAGGACTGCCCTCAGTCAGCTAGACCCCCATCTGTGATTGACCCCAAGCTAATGACCAATCTGACCTTTACTGCCCACAGGCAAGTACCTGAAGGCTCAGGAGAGAAGCTGACCAACACAAAGCCATTTTGGGTTTTAGGTAGACTCTTAAAAGTTAGCAGGTCATAAAAAGAGTCACAGCCCATTGACAAGTACTTGAGACAGGCAGAGTGACCTTCCTCAAGGAGCATAGCTGCCTTGATGTTAATATTTTGCTAGAGGCAAAAGGCAACCTTAGTTTGACATTAGCCTGACCTCCAGGGTCCTGTAAAAATTCCTTTGGAAATTTCCTTTCTCACTGCCCCCTTCCCCTAAGACATATGTTGACAATCATCCTCCAAGCATATGCCCCCTGATATACACCTGAAGGGTCTCATGACAGTAAGAGTTTTTACTAGACAGTAATAAATGACCTTTTCCTAACAGCAGCTAGCGCCTCAAGGTCCTGGAAACCTTGCTTCCAAATTCCTTAGAGACTTACGGCTAGCCTTGACCCCCTCCCAACTCAAAAGTATATAATAAACCATTCCTTGTAATCCCAGTGCAGCTCCTTCTGCCTATGGATCCTGTCCCTGTGCTTTAATAAAACCACCCTTTTGTGGGGCACCTGGGTGGCTCAGTTGGTTAAGTGTCCAACTTTGGCTCAGGTCACGATCTCACAGTTCGTGGGTTCGAGCCCTGCATAGGGCTCTGCCTTGATAGCTCAGAACCCGGAGCCTGCTCTGGGTTCCGGATCTCCCTCTGTCTCTCTGCCCCTCCCCAGCTTGTGTTCTCTCTCTCCAAAATATATAAACATTTTTTAAAATAATAAAAAAAACCCACTCTTTTTGCACCAAAGATGCCTCAAGAATTCTTTCTTGACTGTTCATTCCCCGAACCCCAACATTTTCACATCAGTAACCAGTGCCTCCATCCGTTCCATTTTATACTGACATTTAAACATTCTTTATGAAAGAGTAGCTGTTCTTACCAGAAAAAAAGACTTTCATCTGCTCTTCAGTCTTTGGAGAAAATTTACTTTTATATGAAGGCAAACGTTGCCAAGAGCCATCTTCACTTTTCTTCATGAACTGGTCAAAGAGAAGTCTCATGTCCTTGCTCCAGCTGGGGTTGGGGAGAGAGTGGTCCACATGACTGACCTCAGCAGAAAATGACCTCTAAAAGAGAGAGAGATGAAGAAAATGGGAGGTGCATTTTATTTCATAACATACTGTATTTTCTGAGAGTGTATTTTCCTACTTCTCCTCCCAGAAATTTGTCATTTCAGAGTGGAAGCAAGTTTCAAGTATTACCTGGTCCAACCTCCTTGGGAGGCGGCAATGGACAGAGGACGAATGATGTGCTCAAAGTCACCCAAGTAGTTACAGGCAGAGCAGCACTAAGTCCAGGTCTGTGGATTCCTTTTTAAAAAGAAACCCCTTGAGCACAGGTGAGCCAGGAACTGGAGATAAAGCGATGAAGGACACACATTTCCTGCATGTAAACAGTGTCATCCGTAGGGTGTGCGGAGGAGCTGGAGTGTGGGAAAACCACAGGAAAACCGTTCATCTCAGATGGGGACCAGCGGGCTGGTTCAGGGACTTGAATCTTGATTAGACCACCAGAAATTAGCCAACTAGAAAGGGTATTATAGGCAAGGGAAAAGTGTATGCAAAAGCAAGGACTTAGTTTTGAGGGGCCTTAAGACAACCAAATGAAGTAGGTACTAATTATTATCCCCATTTTACAGATGATGAAACCAAGGCCTAAAAGAAGCTTGGCCTTGTTTCAGTGAAAGGGGAGGAGCATGGCTGCGGAAACTTCCACCCTAAGCCAGCTGGCCTGAACTGGTCGTGTCTGCAGGTCTCCCAGAGCGGTTTCTTTGGGAAATGACAAGATGTGATCTGCATCCTATGAAAGATAGTGGGAGGGACCAAGACCGGATGTGAGGACCCCGTGTGGAGGATTTTAGAGGTAACCCAAGTGAAAATTACGACTGTGTGAAGCAGACCTTGGTGACCATTTTGATAAGGAGAAAGGGAAGGGGAAAAATACAGGCACCAACCCCAGGTTTCTGAATTGTGTAACACAGCGAGTGACAGAACCGATTACCAAGAAAGAGATACAAAGGGGAGGAAGGGGTTGGGGGGACAGGTGCTTGGGTTCATAGTAACCACGGCTTCCACCCAGGCTGCTCCTCTGCAGCACTGAGCAACACTGCCACTCCGGTGCCCAGGAAGCAAGTGGCCCGGAGCGGGGGCCCGGGAGGGGCACAGAGCATGACTTACTAAGAGGAGCAGAACAAAGCAAATGGTCACAGGCATGAGAAAGGAAACTGGTTCTTTTGACTTTGGCAGGAATCTTGGAACACTGAAGATCACAGAAGCTATGGACTCCATGCCATTAGACTCCCAGCCACTTCGTCCGTTCAGATTCAGTGTTACCTACAACCCTCGGACAACACCCCGAGACCAAAACAGCAGGGCTGTGGACAAGCAGCCAACCTGCCTTCTGTTGGTACTCGTCCTGGCTGGACGGGGACACTACAGTGGCCGGTCTCAAAAACTCTACAGAATTAAAAACTTCCTGGCTGAACAAAGTATCACCTTCCCAGAGGAAATGTGAGTGGGATCAGGCTATTCCACTCTCTGGCCCAGGATTTGTACCTTTGTTTTTTCCCTATGGTTTTGATTTGCTCATCTCTTTAGAACTCAGCTCAGGATGTTATATGGAAACCAACTTGACAATAAACGATTTGTGAAAAAAAAAAAAGAAAAAAAAAGAACTCAGCTCAGAAAATTTGGGAAAGAAAAAACAATTTAAAAAAATCCACCCATTATCTCTCCATCTTAAGAAAAACAATGCTTAACATCTGGATGTCTTTCTACCAACTTTTCTTAAATGTAATCTTTCTTTTTAAAAGAAAACTTTTAAAAATGTTTGTTTTTGAGAGAGAGAGAGAGAGAGAGAGAGCGCGTGCAAGCGTGAGTGGGGGAGGGGCAGAGAGGGAAACAGAACCGGAAGCAGCTCCAGGCTGAGCTGTCAGCACAGAGCCGGACAAGGGCCTCCAACCCACAAACCATGAGATCATCACCTGAGCCGAATTTGGACGCTCAACCGACTGAGCCACCCAGGCGCCCCTTAAATGTAATCTTTCTTAATATACTCGCAGTTCAGTAAGAAATTTATTTTTTCCTGCCTCACCACTTAAAAGTATTTAGTGCCCACTTTCTCATGTCCTTAATCTCAATTATCACCATTTTCAACAGCAGAAAAATAGTCTTTTAAACTGATGGACTATAATTTATTTAACCCTTTAAAGTGTTTCCAGGAGCACCTGGGTGGCTCAGTCAGTTAAGCATCTGACTTTGGCTCAGGTTACGATCTTGTGGTTCGAGAGTTCGAGCCCCACGTTGGACTCTGTGCCGACAGCTTGGAGCCTGCTTCAGATTCTGTGTGTGTGTGTCTCTGTACCTTCCTGCTCACGCTCTTTCTCTTTCTCAAAAATAAACAAACATTAAAAACATTTAAAAACAAACAAAAATAAAAGTATTTTCAATTTTTGGCTGCTTTAAATGAAAATATTCATTGGAACATTATGAAAATAGCTTTTTCTCTATTTTGGATTATTTCCTTAGAATCCTGTCTCAATCACGTGGCTTTTAAATTACCTGAATTCTGGGGGTGTCTGGGTGGCTCAACTGGTTAAGCAACCAACTCTTGATTTGGGCTCAGGACATGATCTCAAGGTTCGTAAGTTTGAGCCCCGTGTCAGTCTCTGCGCTGACAGCACAGAGCCTGCTTGGGATTCTCTTTCTCCTCTCTAGGTCCCTCCCCTGCTTGCAAGGGCACACAAGTACCCTCTCTCTCTCTCAAACAACAACAACAACAACAAAAAAACCAAACCCATGAAAATAAAGCACATGAATGCTGGAAATAACAGATACAATTAATCACAGATAAAATATGTACTGACCAACACATGTCAAATAAAAGGGAGAATAGAATGTGTAGGATTTGGCACATCCATACGTCTCATCTTAAACAACTGTAGGATAGATCAGTTCCAGCGTCCTTTTAAGGACGGGGTGACAGAGGTAATTCAAGGCTTTTAGGAACTAGAATGACTCCATCGGCTGTGGGCTCTGTTATCTGATTTTAACTTTGGAACTGTGGGATTCCACTAACTGCAGTGAACTTTTTAAAATCTGCTACATACTTGGTTCTATGCCAGGAACTGGATAAGACAAAGAGAGAAGACTTAGGCTCTGCCCTCAAATGCTTGCAGCCTCGGGTGTGAAAACTACCCTAATAGAAGCACATACGGACACAGAAGGAGCGACATTCAGGGAAAACTTCAAAAAGATGAGCACTGATGGGAGTGATTCCTAAGGGATTAAAAAGTTCACGAAGGAGAGAATGGGAAGGCTGCACCAAGCAAATGCATACAGAGGTGACACAACCGTGTGACACCTTGGGGGCACTGCCAGTATTTCAGTCTTCACGGATGCAACGTGCAAAAAAAAAAAAAGCCAGATGTGGATCGCAAGGTGGCAGATGCAACACACCCCAGAGGCTCTTTGGCCTCGATGCAGAGCTTAGATTTCATCTGCTAAGTCAATGTTTCCAAAGGTCAAAATGAAAGATGATTTTTTAGGTGGCGCAAGGACAACGACTTACATATTTTTAAATGCATCTTATTAAAGGACATAAATAACACACCATACATGTGATTTCACAAGTTATTCCTCAGGATAAAGCTCATTAAAGAAAGGCAGTCTTTTCAAAATCATGAAGGTGGCATTTGAATGATAAAACACTTTTTTCCACGATGGGGGGGGTCTCATGAAGTTTTAAGCAAAGCAGTAATGTGAACTTAGGTTTTAGAAACTTCTCTCTGGTATACAGGATGAATTGCAAGGTGAGAGCAGCAGGAAAAGTGATTAAAAGACTGATGCCAAGATCCAGGTGAGATATGGTTAGAAGTTGAAGTAGGCGGAGAGGCTGATCATGGGGAAAGAGACGTAGAAGAGCCTTGGATGATCCAATCTGACTGGGGTGGGAAGAAGAAAGGAGGTTTTGTTGGTGTTTGTGTGTTAGGAGGGGGAAGAGTAGAAGTGGATCTATTAACTTTAATAAGAGGCGTGTTGAGTTTAGGTCCTCAGATGAACAGTGTGATATTGTGAAAAATAAAAATAATGAAAGTTTCAGTTCAAGGGGGTGAGAACTAAGTGATACTTGATGTAAAGTCACTTGCAAATTCTCAGCACAGACTGTATGAGCGACGGATAAATGTTAGGGATAATCATTACCTTTTGTAGCCCTCTGGGGAGGAAATGTCTTACTTGACCTTTGGTAACATATTTTCCAGGTGGGACTCATTAACTGAAGTTATGACTTCTTTCTTTTTTAAAGTAATCTCCACACCCAGCATGGGGCTAGAACTCACCACCCGAGTCTCATGCTCTACTAATTGAGCCAGCCTGGTGCCTCAAGTTATGACTTCTTTTTAATGTGTCTCCTTTTAAGTTACTGAACAGAAAGAAAAGGCTTATAAAGCCTGTAAATACTACTATTAAATATTCTCAACACAGATTACAAGGCTTCGACTAATTAAAGAAAGGAATTTATCTTTGTTGTTGTGAGAGGGGCACTTGGTGTTTTCTTTTCCAAAGTGAAAGATGGCATTGGGTTAATAACCAATCTGCATATTATTCCCTTTTTTTTTTTTTTAATTTGAGAGAGAGCGAGAGAGTGCACAGAACAGGGGAGGGAGAGGGACAAAGGGAGAGACAGGGAATCCTCAAGCTGGCTCCATGCCCAGCAGACCTTTATACCACATCCTGAGATCCTGACTTAAGCAAATATTAAGATTCCACGCTCAATGACCGAGCCACCCAGGCGCTCCTGCACACACTACTCTTTAAAAGAAAAGGTACGAGAAAGCTTGAAGTTCTTGCCCAATACAGAGCTGTTCCTTCCTCTATGATTCCTTCATTATAGCATAGAGTAATTTTTAAAAAATGTTTTATTTATTTTTGGGAGAGAGCGCACGGAGAGAGCAGAGGAAGAGGGAGACAGAGGACCCCAAGCGGGCTCCGCGATGACAGCAGTGGGCCTCATGCGGGGCTCGAACTAACTCACAAACCGTGAGATCACGACCTGAGCTGAAGTCAGAGGCTCAACCTATTGGGCCACCCAGGGGCCCCAGTACATTTTTTTTCCCATCTCAGCTTTTTCTCCCAAACTCGATCGAGAGTTTTCTTACTCGTCTTTACACCATCAGAGACTAATGTCTTGCATATTGTTGGGGCTTAATTAGCATCAATTGATTATTCAGTGAAGCAAAACACAGGGACACCAGAACAAGCAATATTACCTCATTTTACTCTTACACCAACCTCACCAACTTTCTGTCAAGCAGAGGCGACTAGGATGAACTCCTAGGGAGAGACACCGCTCTTCTCGCGACCGAATAAAGGATGTGACACTCAGGAGCCGGACTGCTAGATCAGACCCGAACTCGACCACTCGCCTGCTGTGTGACCTTGCCCGCACCGTGCCCCCTTCGCTACTGGTATCAGAAGCAGCGGGATTCCCCGCCCTAAAACCAGAGTCCAGCATTCTGCACGCTGCTTCATACCGGGAGTCCCCTCCCTGTCCCTCTCCGGCTTTGAACCTCAGGACCGTAAGCAGGCGGCCCCAGCCAACACCGACGCTAACAACCCGGGCTGACGTTAGCTTTTACTCTGCGGCCAGCGGGTTGATCCACAGTGCGGCGCAATGGTCCTCACCGGGTCGCCCCCGACGCAGCCTGGCTCAGCCGCCCACGCCCGCCGCCCGGCTCCGGGACTCACCCGCGGCGACCACGGGTCCCTCGCAGGCAGAGGCGCGCCTCCCCGCAGGCAGCGCACAAGCCCGGGCGTGCGCAGTCGTAGGGCGCAGCTCCGCAGCATGGCTCCGCGGGCGCTCCAGACTCCCGAGAGCTGTGGGGCCGCCGGCTCGCCCGCCCCTCCCCATTCTCCGAGGGGCCACGTGACCCCGGCGCGCGCGGGGCCAGATAGGGCAGCAGTCTGATCTCGTCAGACTCTGCGTCCCCACCCCGCCCGCCAACCTTAACCGCCCCGCCCCTGCCCCGACCGCCGCTGGCCGGAGCGCAGGGGCGCCGGAGAGCCGCGGAGCCGCGCCCCCTTTCCGCGCCACGGCTGGGAGGCGGGGACACCGGCATGCCCCGCCCCCGCCCCCGCTCGCCCCTCCTCCATGGCGGTTGCCGCCCATCCCCCTGCAGCTCCCGGGCCCTTCCGCCTCGCGCTTCTGATGTCTGCGCGCTCGAGCACCCAAGAAGACTTAGGCCACTTGGCAGGTGGGAGTGCACACAGGGATTGTAGGACTAAGGTCTTGTAGGCGCAGACACGTCCCTGGATCGGGTCGGTACTGATTTGTAGACAGCCTTCTGCGGCTAAAAGGGCATTTATACGCTTCAAATGCTCCTTTTCTGCGTCTTCCGCTGCCCCTCGTTGCGCGCCCCTTAAAGCCCGGGGCAGAACTAAAAGTTCCAAGTCAGGCTTTATTCAGACGGAGAAACTCATGGCATGTGTTGGTCTCCAGCTTTGGAAACCTGAGCTCAACCCTTCCCACGTGACACCAGGTATGGACTCTTCAGTTGCACATGGCCTCTGTTCATCTGTTGTGGGTACCGAGTCAAGGTTACCTTGTACTTCCCTTAGTAAACTGTCCGCCCGCCTCGGGCCCGTTGGTGGCCCGTGGTGTGCTGGCGCTGGCCCACCGGACCAGACTTAAAAATTCAGAATTTGGCTAGCCAGTCCTTAAATACTGCCGTTATTAAAATTTAAGTTATTTCGCCTTACAATTAAATAAATTATTTTTAAAACGAAGGTGTTCGATACTGAAAACTGTAACTTCCTAATTATTTTACTATGTGCTCTTGGGGTTTACCTCTAGCCTATTTGTGTGGTGGGAATAGTAGGCACAAACCTTCCAGCATCCACTTTCAGTCACACCACCTGGGCGTATTCACTCACTGCAAATGAGCGCCTCTTCGTTCCCTTTTATTGAATATTTACCAAATACCACAGTCCAAGTAAGTCCTGAAGTCTTAAGACTTTAGAAGTTACTAGCTAGTTATTAAAATTACGTAACCCCCAGCACATACTCCTTATGTGATGTTTTCCCACCAACACACTTCTGTCACGACTCACATAGTGGAACTGGAGGGACCATTATCAGGAAAGATTTATTAGAGATAAATATACTTGGCTTTGAGCCTGGTGCTAAGTTGAGAGAGCCCCCATTCTACATTTTTTTGTAAGCGATTAGTATCTATGAAACTGGTTTCCCGTTATTTCAGCATCCTTTGTTGAAAAGCTCTCCTCATTCAGTTGTCTTTGCACTTGGATCGAAAATTGATTATCTATATGTAGTAGGAACCCCTCCCTAAGGAGAAAGAAAAAAATTGAAGAGAGAAGAGAAGACTTCAAGGTCACCTAGATAAGAGTCCAGCTGCCTACATCCCCCATGTTCCTGTAAACTGAAACAACTTAATCAGACTACATGTTTATGTGTATTACCATATATGGGAGACAAAGAAATAGAAAATGCATAAAAAACCCTATGCCATATGATGTGGGCCGCTCAGTTCTTTTGGGTACGAACCCAACTGAGTGGTGCCGGCAAAATAAAGTTGCCTCCTGGAAAGAAAAGTCTCGGTGTCACGACTCTCTGAGCGAGAATCCTGCAACAATATACCCTTGGGTCTTTTGCTGGACTCTATTCTGTGCCATTGAGCTAGTTAACTAACTTACTTTGTCTTTCCTTCCTCCCTCCCTCCTTTCTTTCCCTTTCTTTCTTTCTTTCCTCCTTCCTTCCTTCCTTCCTTCCTTCCTTCCTTCCTTCCTTCCTTCCTTCCTTCCTCTCTCTTTCTTTCCTTTCTTTTTTCAGAGCAGAGAGAGGGAGAGAGAGATTCCCAAGTAGGTTCCATGTTGTCGGCACAGTGCCCAACATGGGGATCGATCCCAGGAACCCGTTGGGATCATGACCAGAACTGAAACCCAGGTGCCCCAAGCTAGTTATCTTTCTTGATGCTAATACCACACTGTCTTTATTCTTGTGGCTTCATAATTATAGTCTCAAAATTATTTTCAACTTTGTTCTTTTTTCAAAGTTGTTTTGGCTATTCTAGAGCTATTTTGCATTTCCATATGAATTTTAGAATTAGCTTGTCAATATCTACCAAAAAAAACCCAAACAAACCTGCTGGGATTTTGAATTGACATCTCAGCAAATGAAGTCTTCTGATGAATAAGTTGTATTTCATCAGTGGGTGTTCTTATGAACAAGTTATATCTTCCCATTTATTTAAATCATTAAATCATTATTTAAGTCATTTCTCTCAGCAATGTTTTGTAATGTGAGTTTTGTACGTCTTTTGCCGTGTAGGTTTGCTTTGTTTTTTTGTGATTCTCTTTATGGGGCTTTGCAATTGTGTTTTTACAGATTGAAGATTTGTGGCAACCCTACATTGAGCAAGCCTATTGGTGCCATTTTTCAAATAGCATTTGTTCACTTCATGTCTCTGTTGCATTTGGTATTTCTGCAATATTTCAAGCTTTTTCATTATTGTATTTGTTATGGTGATCTGTTGATCACCTGCAGGACTATGAGCTCTATCAGTTAACCATTTGTTTACCCCTTTCCTTTGTTCTTGGGGAGCCAGGAGTGCCCCAGGAGTATCGCACATCTCCCACCCGGGGTGGGGGGTGTTTGCGGCCTGTCAGCTTGCCTTCTGCTCCCTCATCACTGTGATCTGTGATTATGACTCCCTGAACGCCCAGGTGATGGTTAGCATTGTTTAGCAATACAGTATTTTTAAGTTATGTACATCTCTCTTTTTAGACATAATGCTATTGTACGTTTAATAGACTATAGGGTACTGTAAACATAACTTATGTGCACTGGGAAACCAAAAGATTCATTTGACTTGCTTTATTGTAGTATTTGCTTTATTGTGGTGGTTTGGAACTGTACAATATCCTGAGGTATGCCTGTAGTTATCTTGAAGTATTTCTCATGGACGATCACAGTATATACGTCAGTCCTTGATTGTTCACTGCTAGTTACGGAACAAAGCTGGATCTCTGGCGGAAAAACCAAGTGGCTCTTGGAGATCTTGGTGGATCGGAGTTTTATTTTACACTGGCAGGCTCAGAGGAGATCCTTCTCCAGAGGGCTGAGACCTGAGCACAAGCATGAGAGACAATTTATCATCTGTTACTTCCACATTCTGCATTAGTAGGAATTTGGCGCACACGCCAGCAGGGCAGGAAGAAGAACCCGAGAGAGGAGTCTCTAAACTAGGGACTAGAGCTTCTGTGAGTCCCGTTGGCCATCTTAGGGTACATATCTTTATTTTCCCAACATTCCCCCCTCTGATGCTTCTTTTAAAAATCTTTTTCAGTAGGCATCACCCTTTAGCACTAGGGGTTGGTACCCTCGAGGGCTAAGGTGTCTGTTGCAGTTTGGCGAGCAACGGTGTTTTCAGTGAAGTGTACCAGGGTGTTTAGGGTACAGGGGCCGACGGTCACAAGTAAAATTCTGGAAAGGAGGGGCCCTGCCGGGGCAGGGAGCCAGGATGTCCAGTTTGTGGGGCAGCCTCTATTCGTCCAGTAGTAAGGAGCAAGATCAGGGTCATGACACTGGTAAGGAGCAAGGTTGGCAGAGTTGCATCTGAGCACCCGGACTTGGTCCACACGCTGATTCCTCAGGCTTCTGCCATGCGCAGGCCAACAGGCTTCCCGGGTGTGGCTGGAGCAGGGCTGAAGATCTCAGGGGCCAGCGTCTTTTTGAGGGTCATTTTAAGCGGGTTGACCAGACTGAGTCACTTTGCCAGGCCAAGGGCATCTCGGAGTTGGCCGCCTTAATTCTGGAGTGATGGACCCATGGAGTCTTATTATCATCCCCACAGAATAATAAGCAAAGAAGATTGTCTACACATGAAATACTGTGACAGTTTTTCTGAAGTTTATCTAAAGTTGTCTAGTTTAGGCAAACAACAAACATTTAAAGACAGAACTAGAATTTAACATTCATAACAGTGCGTTGTTGAAACATAGTTTTTCTCTCTAAAAACTCCCATTTCCAGAGATAGCCAAATCGAGACCAATGTGTTTGTAGAACAAGTCCAGTTTTAACAAACCTGCCCTAAGTACTTAATACGCTCATCAAGAATAGCAATAGATCATGAGGATCTTTTAAAGTTTGCTTTGCTGGAACTTTTTGTAATGAAATTCCAGATTGAACTTTTCATAGCCTCCCTGGGCCAGAAGCCAGGCCAAATACTTGCCATCACAAAAGCCTGTGCAGTACCTGTAGAATTAGGCAAATTCCTCTTCACAAAGTCCCTGAGATATCCTGAGGTCCTGCACCTGCCGGGAAGTGACCTTCTTTACTCACCTGGGGAGGGTGCTGGGAACTCTGTAAGCAAGGTATCCGGCCAACATTTCCAAGGGCTTTATGGCTCCATGTTTCATAAAGTCAACCTTAGTTCCTTAAAGCTGTCTGGTCATATCTGAGTCTATACATGTCTCTCAAATATGACATTCCAGTCAAAGCCTTGGTAAAATCGAGGACTTAGTAAGCAACTGAGAGGTGTTTACACACAGACCTCTGGATCACCTGCTGGGCCAACTCCTATCTGCCTCACAAGACTTAACTCAGACTTCGCCTGCTCAGGGAGTTAGTGACTTACACATGGACAGTTTCACTGGTAACCTACTACATCCGTCCTTTTCAAGACTCTTAAGGCATTTGGACTAGTGTCTTATCCTAAATGGTTTCATACTGTAGTAAAGGAAGTATGGCCTACAGCGATCCCACAAATATGGAAGTAGATTTGTTTCTTTAGTCACATGTTGGTGCCTTAGAATCATTCTGCGTTGAGCGTTTATAAGTATTTACAAATGGTGCTTTTAATTAGTCATGGCATATCAAGGCAAAAATAAGCTTTCTTAAAATACAACTCTGTAAGGAATGCTGTGTATCTAGAGTAGTGGACCCCATTCACTACCAGAGTCTTCATCTAAAAGCA